TACCAAGTGGTCCACTGTTTCTTCAGCTTCTTTGCATAGGCGGCACTTACTGTCTGTTGCTGTCTTCTCAATTTTGACTTTGTATGTATTTGTCCTTAAGGCTTGGTCTTGTGCAGCCAGAATTAGTCCCTCGATCTCTTTCTTCAATTTTCCTGCTCTTAGCCATTGCCAGGTCTTGTTAATATCTGCTTTCCCAGCTATTTTTTTAATGTATTGGCCATGTAGTGCTTTGTCTTCCCATGTCTCTATTCTGTTCTTCATTTGGTCTTTCTTGTAGGCCAGTTTGGTCTCTCCAGGAGTCAGTAAGCCTTCCTGATATACTAATTTCAGTGCATCTTCATCATTGTTCTTCAGATATTCTTCCAAAGCCATTTTTTCTTCTTCAACCATCTGATGTACTTGTACATTCCACGGCCACCTATTTGCCTTGGTAGATAAAGTCTATCAATGTCACTGCATGGATGAAGGGCATGATTCATTGTCATTATTTTTCTGGTCTGCCTATCCATTGCTTTTAGTTCTGCTTGAGTCCAGTCCACTATTCCAGCTGTGTACCTAATGACTGGAATTGCCCAGGTATTGATTGCCTTTATGGTATTTCCTCCATTGAGTTTGGACTTTAAGATCTTCTTCACTCTCTTGATGTATTCACCTCTAATCTTTTTCTTGACTTCAGTGTGCTTGATGTTGTCAGCTTGAAGGATACCCAAGTATTTGTATTAATCTTCCTCATCCAGACTCTTAATGTTATTTTCGTGGGGCATCTTGATTCCTTCAGTTTTCATTATTTTTCCTTGTTTGATAGTAAGTGTGGCACATTTGTCCAAGCCAAACTCCATTACAATATCTTGGCTATATATGCGGACAGTGTTGAGCAGCGATTCTATTTCAGATGATGTTTTTCCATACAGTTTCAGATCATCCATGTAAAGGAGATGGGATAGTCTGGTAGATGTTTTTGATGTTTGATATCCATGTCCTGAGTTATTCAGTATTGTTGACAGAGGAAACAGTGCAATAACAAATAGTAATGGTGATAATGAATCTCCTTGAAATATTCCTCTCTTGATATTAACCTCTCCCAGTCTCTCACCATTGATCTGCAACTGTGTCTTCCATTGTGCCATCGATCTTTGCACAAATTTTCTGATGTTTCTACTGACTCCTGTTTTTTCTAGGCACTTGATTATCCAATCATGTGGCAGAGAGTCAAATGCCTTTTTGTAGTCAATCCATGCCACATTCAGGTTGGTCTTCCTTCTCTTGCAGTTTTCCAAGATCATTTTGTCTATTAGGAGTTGATCTTTTGTTCCTCTGCTATTGGGGCGGTTTCCTTTCTGCTCAGGTGGAAAGAGATTGTTTTCAACTAGATGCTGTTGTACTGCATCAGCTACCACACCAGTTAGTAATTTGAAAGTTGTTGGTAAGCAGGTAATTGGCCTGTAGTTACCTGGTGTTGCCCCTTTTGCTGGATTTTTCATTATTAGGTAGGTTTTCCCAGTTGTTAGCCACTTTTCAATTTCTACTCCTTGTAGTATATTGTTGAACTGCTTGGCAATGAGTGGGTGTATAACAGTTAGATGTTTCAACCAAAACCCATGCAGTTCATCTTCACCTGGTGCTGACCAATTTTTGATTTTCTTTGCTCTTTTTTCTAGCATTTTTGTTGTTATTACTAGTTCTTTCATTTCAGCATCTGTTTTATTTGCATCCACCTCTTTTAACCAAGCCGCATCCTTGTTGTATTTCTTTGGGTTATCCCATATCTGCTTCCAGAACTGCACTGTTTCTTCCTTGTCAGGTACTGACTGATTCATTGCAGTTTCTCCATTGATGGATTAGTAGAAACGTTTCTGATTGGATTGAAATTGGAGGTTCTGCCTATAGTTTGCAATTCGAGCTTCATATCTACTAATTTTCCTGGCTATAGCTGTTATTTGTTGCTTTATTATTTCCAGTGCTTCCTTGATCTTCCTTGTTACTAAGTGGTATTTCTTGATTAGGTATTCTTTGGTCTTCTTGTTCTTCAGCTTCTTTTCTTTCATCTGTTCTAGCTTGCTTGCATGTGATCTTAACTTGCTGATCTTATTTTCTAGTCTAACCTTCCATTTTTCTGGTGCACTGTTTGTTTGTTTTTCTTTTTGTTGATTTTGCATCCCAGGTATTCTGTTATAACTGCAGCTGTGCTGTACATTAGTTGGTTTGTTTCTTGCAGTGAATTGGTGCTTATACTTGATATTGCAGTATTTGCATCTTTTAATGCTTGTTGTTGTTGTTGTTATTATTATTATTATTATTATTATTATTATTATTATTATTATTATTATTATTACTATTATATGATGGAACCCTGCAGCTAAAAAAACCATCCTCAGCTAGGCAGATAAAATTAGACAGAGGAAAAAACTAGTAAGTTTAAAAAATGCTTTTGCTGAAGGTGAGCTGCTAAATGAGGTATGATAGCCAGCAAGCCAACAGAATAATTTGCAAAGTACTTCCAAAGTGTTACCCGTCCAAGCATGTTTTTTAAATAAACTGCTATGAGCACAGGACAGAAACAGATTAAGTAGTCTATGTTGATAGGTCCACAGTCACAACCCTAGTTTCTCAAACAATTTCCTTTACTAATTTAAATGCAATAGTGGCCAACTAATCAGATCCAAAATATGAAAGTGAGAAAACCAATGTTATAGTAAATAAATTACAGTAAAATCTATTTCTCCTTGCTGCTACACTTTTGCTTTGGAAAAAGCTGGCAAGGGACCAGTCTGATCTTTTGTCGCTACCATATTTACAGGTCTTTCTATGAAAGACCATAAACATTTTGGTCTTTTTTACTGTCCCTATAGTAGTAGCCAACACCTACCATTCTTAAATATAAAAGTAAGTAAATGGTTTTTTTATAAAGTTTTTTAAAGATACCAGAATAGTAAGAAAAGCCCTACCTAGTAAATTTCTCAAAATGGTGACTACATTGACAATTCCATGTGCCTACAGTTCTAATCCCAACACATCCGAAATTGCACTAAATAGGAGAAGGCTATACTGAGGCAACAGTTATACTTTATATTTGTTAGAAATTCACTAATTTTTTGGTATTTCAAAAATATTTTTTTCTTAAAGCCTAAAATATGTGAATAAATATTTATTTGACATTATTAGCAACATTATAAAACATACTTTAAATTTTAAAAATGCATTAGTTTTGTTATGGGGCTATATATCTGATTATACTTCTAACATTTTCTGTCTTTCTTTATAATTAAATAGGCATTTATTTTTTCCAATTGGTCAAACAACTTTCTTCCTCAGATTCAAATAGCCCCATCCTGCTAGCATTCCATAAGGAGCTGAACATTTGGTTTTGCCCCGAGGAATTGGCCAAAACATTAGATGAACCCACCCAAAATGTATATGATTTGAATGTGAATACTGTGGTAGCCACAGATATTTCTTTCAAATATTTGGGAATTTTGGTTTTAGTTTCTTTGTTTTTAAGCTTTTAGCCATATAAAAGCCACCCAGCATTATTACTACAAGTTGGGCAGCTATATAAACAATCTAAAATAATTGATAATAGAATGGGCAAGCAATTGACTTTAGTCAACTGTTTTCTAGAAATAAAGTCAAAGCAAAATTGCCTTCTTTATGTTGCATGAACAGTGAGATAAGGAAAAAAAGTATCATAAATTTACTATGTCTTATCTGGTAATATCTTTACTTCTATCAAATACTCTCTTTCTTTTAATTGCAAAAATAAGAAAACCATTGTGAGTTATGCAATCCAAAAAAGCTGAAACATGCAAACATACGTATATACTATGATATATAAAATTTCAGAAGCATAGCATTAAAACTATTATTAGCAACCTTATGTATTTTGCTTAGAGTTTCTTCTATTCATTTATAAATCAAAAGATATTATTCCCTGAAGAGAGGACCTAATAAAAAATGAATAGATTCAAAAAAAACCAAAAATCCATATTCTGTGGATGTTTAAACAGAAGTCTCTCATAGATTACCAAGTGTAAGGACCCACCCCACTTTGCATCTTAAGAAGACAGAACTCTTGGAATAATTCTTCCAGGAGGAATCCTTTATTAAGAAGAAGTGGTTGCAGGCGTGCTAGACAGGACTTGGGGTCCAAGTTCTCCAATTCAAGGTTTTAAGGGTTTCTCCAGTAGCCCCACCCAATCAACCCCCTCTTTCAGCGACAGTCTCAGGCATTACACTTCCACCCCCCTTTTCATTATTGCCTGGCTGGATGGAGACTTCAAAGAAACTACATGAAAGGAAAACGGCCCCATTCTTATGGTTAGTTCTTTTGCAATACACACATTCAGTTCCTTAGAAATATACTGAAGGAAGTGAGGGCCATAAAGCCCCTTTGTTCTCCCCCTTCTCTCCCTCTTATGGCAGAATCCAGAGAAGGCGGAATTGGGGTTTTCTATATTTGATAACTGATGAAGTATAATTGGATTCTGACACCAAGGAAGCAGATTTATTTTCACACAGTGTACCTGCAAAATCATTGGAATACTTCAGAACAGAATGTATTCCCTGTATTTAATTCCTTAAATTCATTTATAGCTTTTCCAGGTGCTCTTTGAAAAAGGATATTTTATGAATATTTTTTTTTACATAAGCCTATTTAATTTATAAAGTATACCAACTTCAAATGAAAAGGACAAAAACTGAGCAATAAAGAGAAATTCATGAAACAGGTAAAAAATGTTTTCATAGATAATTTGCAGAAAATTGAAGCAAAGTTGTAAAAAAAATTCAAGTGTAATTTCTGTTCTGGCCAAACCATAAACAATTTACTTTTTTAAAAAATGTCCGATTATCCATGGATCCATCCATCCATCTTTCTGCTTCCCTTAGATCAGCATGGTCGCTGTGGAATTCTGGGAGTTGAAGTCCACACATACTAAACTTCTGAGACACTGCTTTAAATCACTTTTTCTACCACATTGTTACCATAGAAGGTTGCCTCTTACCTTTGTGGTGATTCACCCCAGATGCTATTTTCCCCCACAGTGTTACAACAAATATTATTATTAGCAGTTTTCCTTTTGTTGCTTTCTGCAAATATCTTTTATTCATCCTAGAGGGAAAAAAATACACAAAATGAAAAATTTTTCCAAATATATTTTTCTGCTTTATAAAAATAGTTAAAAACATTTTCAAATATATACAAATATCTTATCAGCTACTTGCCAAAGACAACAGGAAGTTCTCTTTAACAGGAAGTCAGATCTAGTTCAGCTCACTTAAATCTTTCTGCCCAAACAAAAGTGCTCCTATAATTGTTCTAAATATGTGAGATTCATGGGTGATCATTTAGGAAGACCAAATGAAGATACTTTCACTTGGATGCTACCAAATCATGAATTGAAAAACAAATTGCCTGCTTGATATATTACTAATACTTTGATTGGAGCACCCAGAGTGGTTAGAAGATAGACAGCTATATAAATGTTTGAAATAAAAAATAAGATCAAAAAATACTGAAGAGACCTTATTGTGCTTATGATTTTATTATGCTTAAGCTTGATATTAGTAGTGTTATTTTGTAGCCATTTTATATAAAGTAATCATTTTATGTTGATATTAGTAGTGTTAGTTTGTAGCTATTTTATATTGTAAGGTTTTCCACTTAGCCTCACAATTGTTCCAGTGTTACTCAGGAATTTAAAAGAGCCAAAGAAACTCCTGAGCCGAGGTTTCAGCAAGCAAACAACTTTTATTTTGATCAAAATAGAGTTGGGTGACCCCATCTCTCTTCATGGCTGGTAGAGAGATGAAGGCAACAACCAGGAAAGATGTTTTCCACTTTTTATGCTTTTTCAGAACAAAGAGATCAGGTCTTGGTATCAGGCATAAGATAGCACAAAAAATAATAATTCCTGGGTTAATACTAGCCACCTCCTACAAAGAAAATTTATACAAGATGTTTTATAGATGGCAACTTCCCTCTACAAGGCTAGCAAAAATAGATTAAAAAAACCTCACCAACATGCTGGAAATGTAGAAGGCTTTCAGGGACTTACTATCACATGTGGTGAGAATGTTCAAAGGGGCAAAATTTTGGAATTAAATAAAAAATTGGCTGGAAGAAATACTATTACAAAAAATTGATTTAAAACCAGAAATCTTCTTATTAGGGATTATTAATAATAAACTCAGCAAAGCATCTTTTTACTTACTATTGCATATTTTAACCGCAGCAAGATTGGTTAATCTACGCCCAAAAATGGAAAGGAAAGGAAACCCCCACTGAGGAAGAAATAATAAATAAAATTTTATCCTGTGCTGAAATGGACAGGTTAACTCTAGAGATTAAAAATAAAACTGAAACAAAATATTATGAAATTTGGAAAAATTTGTACGATTGGTTAGAGATGAGGATCGCTGAGAGGATTATCGATTGACTAGTTGATATTATAAGGACTTCTTATTAGTACCTATATTAGGACACAACTGAAAGATATGTAAATACAACGTTGACAATTGAAAGATGGTTTATCAAAAAATTTACAGATGTTATACGCACAGTTTGTTATACTCTGTCCTGTTATAGAATGTATTTTAAATTTCTGTTTTTCTTTCTGTAACATAAGGTAATACTAATAGCACTGTTGAAGCCAGGGAAGTTGAATCATGTCCATTTTTGTTTTTAAAATGTACATTTAATAAAATTTGTAAATAATAATAATAATAATTCCTAGATGATGACTCGTACACAGCAACCCAGGCTCCATCCATAACTCATTCTCCCCCTCCCCTTACCTTGCTCTTTTCATGTAAGCAATCACCTGTACCTAAAGCATGAAACATTTGCTTCTATATAACTAATTTCCCAATATAAAGCACCCATAAAGCTGCTTGCACATAAACAAAGATATATATATAATGATTACAAAATATCACTACTAATATCAATATTACTAATATCAAACCTAAGCACAATAAAATCTCTTCACTCCTCCCTTTTTAATATAAAAGCCGAATAGGCTTAGGGACTCTTGAAGAGGGGAATATAGTCAGAAGGTAAAGGTTTTAAAATCATTGCTTTAGCTGGTTTATCATTATAGATAGGAGTGGCAGCAAAAATTGGTCTGGATATAGTGGATCTAACAATTCTCTAAATAAACGGGATAAGCTATGATAAACACAACAACCCTCCTAAGGCCAAAATCACAATGAAGAATATCCTTTCCTATTATCAAACATTCCTGAAAACCATCCTCCAACATCCAGTGCTCGTGTCCCTGTTTGGACAGGGACATGAGCCAACTTTCACATTCTGTCAGTGACTTCTTTGACATATTCCTTATATGTAATGTCGGAATGGGGTCTAATTCCAAGTCAAATTAAAATAAGGAGTGATGTTCTCTCGAGCTTCACATTTAAAAATGAAACAATTCTTTTGGGCCAGATCAATAAAAAAAAGTCTTTGATACTGAGGGAATCTCACTTGTGATTTCCAGTTCATGAAAATCAACTTGAACCCATATTTGTATTTGGTTCAATTGATAGTGAGTTCAAATGATGCTGAAAAATCCATTGGTCTAGTTATCTTGAAGCACACCAGGTTGCAGGAATCCTTTGAATGTGCCAGGTTGGGTAGGATGTGCAAACATATTTGGCATTTAATGAGTAGGGCTGTCTCCATACTTAGTCCATTTAGCTTGATTATAGTCAATAGCTTTACATGCATCAAAGAAGATTCTGGCACTTGTCCATAAGTCTCGTGTGATTCTTCCCCAAAAGGTAATGTCTGTATGTCCCTCCATATGTCCAGATTTGAAGTTGTTAGTAAAGCTTTACTGTATTGACAGGAGCATAATAAGTGACCCTGTTGCCCCTTTGCAAGTGGAATACCTAGTCTTGTTATAAACACAACTCCCTTTTGTTCCTTAAAGTATTGGGCCCACGGTCCTTCCTTCTACCAAAGAAGGTACAAGGGAAACAACAGTAGCAGAATAAAAATATTGCAATACATAATCCAGGTTCTAGGAACACGATTTCCAGGTTAGTCCAATCCATTGAGGTGTTTCTCCTACTTAGATGGAAACAGTTCAACTAGTGAGACAGGTTAAAATTTCATTTTCAGGCCATTGAGCTGCAGAGTTTGTCACTGGAGAGGGAATGATGGGATTTTCCATGGACTCATGCCTTGATTCATTAAATCAGGAGGACTTGGCATGGTTGAGATCTCTCAGGACTGATATTTCTAGCTGACAGTTCTTTTCACCTGAACCCATCTCCAGGAACAACAATGGCTAGAGACAGGTGGTAGGGCAGCCTGGGCCTGTACTGAGATAGAAGACAAAACCTGCACCAGATTATGCAAATATTGAGTAACTTTCTTCTCTTCTTCATTGACGTTCTTGAACCTTCATGTAACAAAAGCCTCCCATCCATCATTTCAAACAGGACAAGGCAAATTTTCCAGAGTTGAGGCCTGTATTGAAATGGCCTCCCCACTAAATGTTGTAAAGCTTTTTATTTACTTGTATTTATATATCATATATTTATCACAGGTTTGTTTTTGTTTTCTTTAATACAAGTTTTATTAAGTTTTTCAGTTTTTACAACAAAGTGCTTAGGAAACAACGTGGTGATGGGGTAGTCAATTATCCCAAAACCAACACATTTATGTATAATTCAAATTAGCTCATTAAAAATTCCCTCTCTAGTTCCCATTAATCATGTAACATATTCAGTTTAATACATTTCTAGTAAAAATCCATCAATCAATAAAATTTATAAAAAGCCATTAATTGTAAAAATCCCAATCCTGTATTTAAGCTTTACAAAATTCCAATTACCATATTTCAATTAGCCATTTAAACTTATTATTTAAACTTCGGATATCCGTAATTTCCCTCTATTCATAACATAATAATTATAGTATCTAGAGAGAAAGAGAAAAAAGCATATTATTCCCACAATTACATTCTTATATTTCCTAAACATATTCTATACTTGTTCTAATATCTCCTCATTTACTAATACCATATCTTCTATTAACACAATCCATTTTCTTATTCTTCATCCAGTACAGAATAATTATCATACATGAAGTAAACACATTAATTCAAAAAATATAGTCTATATCTCAGATATATATTCTACTAACCAAAAATTTTCCTCCCACTTATAATTCTAAATCTTAAACCTTAAGTCAATACGTGTCTAAAAAGCCTTTTTAACCCATTACATACAATTTAGGTCACACTCTTAAGTCTTATTCTAGCTTTCTTTTTGTGCCAAGCAGGTTTCCTTAACAGAGCCTCTATATCAACGAATAAATCTCTCTTTATTCCTCGTAGTATCAATTGAGTAAAAAAAAAAGTCCCATCCTCTGTTTTAGGAATCTGACTCCTTTGTAATTGATCCCTTGTTGCTTTAAAAATTAAACCCTCGACATTTGATTCTGCTGAGTAAGACATTCAATTATGTCCAATTTTGTGGTTAGTAGTTGGTTATCAAAATTGTCATACTTCTCAATAAATTGTATTTGCGCGTTCATTCCCGTTACTTTTGAAATTGTATATGGTTTAGTTAAAGTCACTTTTTGATCATCAGGAGTCTCAATAGGTTGTATATAGAATGGCGTAGAATCTTCTTTGTTATTGATTGATTCCTCTTCTGTTGTTTTTTGGTCTGTAGGATAGTCAAATGAAATTTGTAAATTCAAAGCAGAGTTTCTGTTTTTTATTTCTGTAGTAATCTCTTTTATTTTAACGTATACTTGCTCAGTGGCTTCATAGATTTTTTCCAATATAGGTTTACAGTTGAGTTGTAAATAGGGTTTCTCCATTTATTTATTTTATTTATTTATTTACAAATATTTATATGCCGCCCAATCCCAAAGGACTCAGGGCGGTGTACAAGGTTAAAAACAGTCATAAAAGAATAAAATAATCCAGTCACACCGCGAGTCCGATCATATCCCGGCCCCCCGGGGACATCAGCCCCAGGCCTGCCGGAACAGGAGAGTTTTAACGGCTTTCTTAAAGGCCGGCAGGGTGGGAGTAGTTCGAACCTCGGGGGAAGTTGATTCCACCAGGTCGGAGCCACCACAGAAAAGGCCCT